TTGACCCTAAATGTTCTATCTGGATATGGTTCAACATTAGAATGGCAGGTTGATAACAAAATGCTGGTCCACTCATTATAGAAGATTCATTCAGTCAAAATAACTATCAATAGCATTAGTGATATCTGCAATCTTTGAATACTGGTGTAAAGTAATTTTGGAAAATTAGCACATCCAGACAGACATTAAGATCACACGTTATTTTTGATTGGAATAAAAATGTTAAAGGTGTATTACAGACGCCTGGCAAGCCTGGGCGGGTGGAGCGGCAGGCGAGAAACTCTTTTTTATATACAGTAGCGGACAAAAGTTTAGAAACAAATATTAACATTATTATGAACTAGTCAATATACCTAAATTAAAATTGTGAAGGAACAGAGATAATATGAATAAAGTCTACCTTTGGCTCCCGTATAACTATTCAAATTCTCTGAAAATAAAAACACGCGTTTTTTTTTAAATACCACAAATATATACGACAAAAGTATGAAAATATTTCAGTTTAGCCGTATTTATTCGTTCTGTGATACTATGATATTGCGTGCGGTAAATATTAACATCAGTGAGAATGGCAAATGTAAAAGGATTTTCAAAAGATTTAACAGACAAAGTAATTGAATTATTTAGACGTGGTGTCAGAAATGTTGACTTTTCTCAAAGACTAAAAATGAACAAAGGGACGATTTCGAAAATTATTAGGTGCGGAAGACCGAAAAAAAGAAACGATTATGTTTTGGATCGCTACATTAAACGTTTGTCCCGTGAAGATCCTCGAATGACAGCCACACAGATTTTCAAAAGAATCGTAGCAAAGTATGCCGAGAATATTTCTGTCAGAAAAGTGCGGAGACGCTTGGTGGTTTTTGGGCTTTTTGGTAGCCTCTCATTTAAAAAAAGTTGTATTGATCAGCTTCAATTTGGACAAAACAACAATGCAATACAGTTTTATGGTGATGAAAGCAAATTTAACTTGCTTGGATCTGACAGTACGGTATATGTGAAACGTCCAATACGAAAAAGATTCGACAAAAAGTATCAGTTGGCAACAGTTAAGCACGGTGGAGGCAACATCATGGTTTGGGGCTGTTTTTCTAGTTCTGAGACGGGTCCATGGTAAAAGCATGAAAACAAGAAAATTGAAAGAAACCATAAACAACTATGGGTTCAAGCAAAAAATTGAAGAGAGTACCAGAATAACATCATTATCAGAGACTTTGTTAGATCTTGTTATTGTAAATTTCGAATGTGCAGGGATTAAAGCTGTACATACACCTAAAGTTAGCGATCACAGTTGGACAATGCTGCCCTTGGTAGGGCATTTTTCTGATACAAAAATTAAGAAAATCGTAAATACTATTAAATACGAAAAAATATATGACAACATAATAGGAAATATAAAAACTTGTTTAGATCTTGCAACTGATAAAAAAGTGATTTGCTCGACAAAAAATGCACCCTGGTATAACAAGAATATTAAGGCAGCTCAAAATTTGAGAGACAAACAATGCAATAAATGTATATTCACAAAATCAAATGATGATTGGGAGGTATATAAAACTCTTAGGAATAAATGTGTATATGTAATTAGAGAAGAAAAAAGAAAATTCTACGATAAACAAATCGATAATAACAAGTGCGACAGTGTAAAGATGTGGAAGACTTTAAAAAGACTGATCAATTCGAAGCCGCATGATTGTGTAAATCAAGTTCAATTCGAAAACGGTACCGAAACAAATTCTTTGGTGATTGCAAACAAACTAAATGAATATTTTGTGGAACAAAATTTTAGTGGAGGCGCAAGCAGGCTTTCGAAAAAAATATTCCACAGAAACAGCTTTCCAGTTGGTAACTGAGAATTGGAGAAGAGCCATAGACTCAGAAGAAGTTGCCATAGCAGTATTTTTGGATTTGCAGAGGGCATTTGAAACGATTGATAGAGATATTTTGTTAGGTAAATTGAAGGCATATGGTATAACAGGAAGTGTTTTAGATTGGTTTAGAAATTATTTGTATAAAAGGATGCAAGTTACAAAAGTTAATGACACTATTTCATCAAAAATTGAAAATACGTTGGGTGTTCCACAGGGCAGTATCCTGCGACCACTTCTTTTTATTTTATACATAAATGATTTACCTGCCATAGTCAAAAAATGCAAAATTCAAATTTTCGCCGATGACACTCTGATTTATATAAGTACTAAAAATATTCAGTCTGGTATCTCTTGACGATGAGGCAGAGGTGGTTGGTTCACATTTTATGTTTGGTTCATAGCATTTTATTGACCAAATACCCTATATACTTAAATAATAAGTTATCCTTGAGAAGTCAGCATCATGCAGCCAACCTCCGTTTCGTTCGTTACACCATTAACACGCCCCATCATAGAACCACCCTATTTACTAAGAGTTTCTCTTTTGTTGCACCCAATCGCTATAATATGCTCCCTGTCAGCTTTAAAGTTTTATCTGTTCCACTTTTTTTAGATTTTTCATTATTGTTACTCAACAATGTTTATGTCTCCCAGATTTTGTATTATAATTTTGTTTGGCCCTGGTTGGTATGAAAAACAGCTTTTAGCTGACACCCGCCAGGTTAAAAGGCTATTATTATTATTATTATTATTATTATTATTATTATTATTATTATAAATGAAGACTTGAAGCTTGTCTCAAAATGGTTAGCATCTAACAGACTAAAATTAAATGCAAGTAAAACGAAAGCATTGTTAATCGGAAATAAACAATGTACAAATGTTCAACTGAATATTGATGGTGAAGATATTGAATTCGTAGAAAATTTTAAATACCTGGGAGTTTTTGTTGACTCTCGATTAATTTTTGATATTCATTATGAAAAAGTTATAAATAAGATTAGTAGTAAAGTGGGATATTTATCGAGAGTTTCTGGATGTCTGAGTTCATATAGCAGAAAAATTATCTATAATACCATCATTCTTCCAAATTTCTTGTACTGTTCGACTATTCTATATTTAGCAAATAATTCCATTTTTGAAAGACTGCAAATTTTACAAAATAAGTGCATGAGAATAATACTAAATAAAGATAAATATACTCCAATTAGGCAAATGCTTAGCAAATTAAAATGGCTCAATGTAAAAAATTTTATCACATATCTTGTAATGATATTCATTTATAAAGTAAAAAATAATATATTTCCATCAAGTCTAACTAATTTAACATCATCAAATGTCGACCATCATTTACATAATACCAGAAATAAAGATGACTTCCATTTAATGACGAAAAAGTATAACATATGCTACAAATCTGTATTCCATCAAGGGTTGATTGAATATAATGAATTATACTCGGAGATAAAAGACCAGAAAACTTTGACAAAATTTAAAGTAAAATTGAGAAATCACTTGTTAAATCTACAATTATAGGTTGCCCATCATTTACATCAGACACCATATGGCTTGTTCTAAGTTGTTTACTATTGTTCTGTTTATGTAGCCAAATGTGCTAAATAAATCTTTCTTTCTACTAGTTGTTAAAATTATTGGTAAAATGGATCAAAAGCTTTCTTAGTGAACTCGTGCTCCCTTTTGCTCAAGAAGAAATGCCTTTACGATTAACACTCCAGGAAGATAATGACCCCAAGCATACCTCAAAATTCGTAAAGGACTGGTTAAGACTAAAAAATGTTGATGGTCTTACATGGACCTAAGCCCTATAGAAAATCTCTGGGGCCATGTTCAAAGACAACTGACAAGAAAAACTTTGAAAAATAAGAACGATTTATTTGATTATGTAAAAATTATTTGGAAAAATATCCCAACAGACGCCTGTAAGAAATTGGTGTCTTCTATGAGCAGCAAATGCTAAAGGCTACGCTACCAAGTATTAGCGAAACAGTATTTTTTAAATCTTTTTGGAGAGTTACTGTATTTAATTTTGTAGTAAAAAATTTGTTTCCATACTTTTGTCGTCTCATTTTTGGACATAAAATAATATTTTATTTAATTTTAAAAAATCGAAACTTTTCAACGGAAACGAATAAAGAGATGAAAATACTTACCTTCTGGAGTCCGAAGTATGAGCTTTCTTTTTCAAAAGTCGACAGGTCCGTATCCCCGTTATTTTCAGATAAGATAGATCCTGGACAGGGAAAAAGCGCGCTTGATACGCAAAAAGATCACTTATCCAAAATTGCAGATTCGTTTATGCGAAACGGGTGCCCTAAACGAAAAAAACTCTCTCCACGCAATTTATAGTACTCGACGAGATGTACAAAATGTGCCGTACGAAATTCCTTATCTCTTTTGCATAAAGGAGATATCGGAGTTTTTACGGCAATTCACCACTTTTCTCGCTTTTTTTTGAAAATTTCTAGAAAAAAAACTAAGATGCGAATCAAAACAGGAGCTACGCTATAGGACACGCTCGTCATTTAGCTATCGAATGAGACCGATCTCGAGTCGATATTTTCATAAACGGCGAAACGTAGCCTACCAAAGTCTTCGTACTACGCGAAAAACCACCGTTTTTTCGATTTTAACAGCCATTTTAAAACGCTCTTCGTCCATGTACCAAGGCTGTTCTTACTCGCTCGTAAAGCGTCGAGTTCCTAGTTTCTGAAAAGGTATCGTTTTCCGATAAAACCTCGCGCGAACCGTCAAAAAAATCGGAAAAACCGCGCCCACGTTGAAACGCTCCAAAAAAAGTGAAAAAAAACCAAAAGATATATAGTCAATTTTAATGTTATTCTGCAGCAAACACAAAGTGTCATTTGTATCCTCAAGACTGTAAGCAAGCTATATGAGAAAAAAATAGTCCTTAATAATAAAGAATAGAAAATTAGAGCACTTTTTAAAAATTACTAAGAATGTTTCCAAGCTTTTGTCCGCTACTGTATACCGAAGCAGCCTCGCAGACAGGAGACTGAATACCAGGGCACCGCGGCTGCTATGACGAGCTTAAAACAAAACTTTGTAATAACCCTGAGCCCCCAACTAAATCTTAGCATAATCACTCACCTGCCTGTGTAGTTTGCACTCCTTGCATTGCGGATCGAACTCTAAATGTTCGTCTATAGTTTCTGATACGACAAACGTAGACTGGACTGCTAAGCACCTGGTGCAGTTGATCAGATTATTTCTGTGAAGAAACCTCAAGGCATCATCGAAACCTTGTTTGCACATGTTCGATAATACTTCCGGTTTTGGCGGGAACAGTATCCTCACTATCCTGTAGATGTTGTGTTTTGACAGTTCTATACTGGTATTCGCGATGTTGATCTAAAAAAAAAAAAAAATCAGAAGCGTATAGTAGCCAGTCTATAAAAACTATCGAATAATAGTACCAGAATGGCAGGCGTTAGAGAAAGGACCTTCTATAGATGCCAAAACCTATCGGTACACGGATGGCTCGAAAACTAAGTCGGAGCTGAAGCTGGGATTTATGGGGCAAGGCCAAAAACTGAGATAATAATTTCAGGCTGAAATAACGACCATACAAGTTTGGCCAAAAGAGCAAATAAGGAATGAGACTGCAGACAGCCAGGTAGCCAGAAAGGCATTAAGTTCATCACAATCGTCGTCTAAGCTAGTAGAGGATTGCGTGGACACTCTAAAAGAGAAACCAAAACATCGATCTGGGTACCAGGACACGAAGGACACAAAGGCAATGAAATGGAGGATGGGCCACTTTAGGTCTATTTAACATCACTAACACGTAAAAAGAAGGTGGTAGACAAGGACCAGTCGACCGAGGCAGTACCACCCGCTAGCTTTTCCCAGGGTGTCTTATAAATGTCCGCATGTTTCCACACCTAAGCTATGCAGTCGGTTATCTACCAAAACAAAGAAATTAATGATGATGGATCCCTCGAGCACTAAAAACTCCGGACGTAAACTCACTCCACTCTCGGAATGTCCGGGTGGAGGGTGGGCTCGAGGGAACAACATCGAAGATAAAATTTGTTTTTCGAACATCTGCGGGATCAACAGCAACATTGATGCTGTTCATCACTACCTGCAATCCAATCGTCCCGCCGTGCTTTTCTTGGCGGAGACAAAAATCTCAGAGACTGCACCCATTAACCATCTCAACTTCCCAAACTACGAGGTGCACTCCAATCTGAGAAAGAACGGGGGAGTTGTGGCTTTTGTCCGCAGCAGTCTTTCCTGCTCCAGGGATCTTTCTTTGGAATCAGACCGGAAGGACATTCTGTGGCTTCGCCTCAACTCCAAAACATCACCCAAATTTATTTGCTGCCTTTATCGCTCTCCCTCGAACCATAACTGGGATGACCTACTCGAATACCTCGCCGTCCAGATCGACTTCCTGAACATCAATCACCCCGCTTCAGAGGTAGTTCTTCTCGGTGATTTCAATGCCCATAATGAGCTTTGGTTGGGCTCAAATAAGACCGATGCAGCAGGTCGTGCAGTCGAAGCGTTCGCTCTTACTCAAGGGCTGACCCAGCTGGTGACGAGCCCTACATTTTTCCCCCGCGTCTCGTCACACGCCAGTAGCCTGCTGGATCTCTTTCTGACCACGCATCCTGCCCCTTACAGCACTGCTGTCCTGGGTAACTCAGATCACGGTGTTGTGGAGGTTAGGTTTCGGTCAGAAGCAGCTGTGGCAGCAGAAACTCGCACAGGCCGCAAAACTTGGCATTACGGACATGCCGACTGGGAGGGGCTCAGAGACTTCTTCTCTAGCTTTCCTTGGAGAGATGTCTGTTTCACTGACGCGGATGCGTCGACTGTCTGTTCTTCAATAACCGAAATTATCCACGTCGGAATGGAGGAATACATTCCTCACACAGTGAAAGTTCCTAAACCAGGGTCCAACGGCTGGTTCAACAAATCGTGTGACACTGCTCGCCAGCAGAAGATCAAGGCCCACAGAACCTACTTACAAAACCCCACTGTAGAGAACAGACAAGCCAAAGTCGAGTCCAGAAACAAATATAACGAAGCGGTTCGCAATGCCAAAAACCAGCATGATATAAAAGTTAGGCACAGGGTAATGTCGCAGCGCAATGGCAGTCGGTCTTTCTGGACGCTGGCCAAGCAGATTGAAAAGAACTTCTCACACAGTAGCCTTCCACCACTTACGTGTCAGGATGGAACTATTGTATTCGACTCAAAGGCCAAGGCGGAAGTGCTAGCCAAGATCTTTGCTGCCAACTCCACCATGGACGTCCCCACCAACGCCCAAGTGCCGTCAATTCAAAGGGTTCCCCACACTATGCGGGAGGTAACATTCAGGCATAAGACCGTAAGACGAGTGCTCTTGTCGCTCGACATCAACAAAGCTTCTGGTCCGGACTTGATTCCTGCCATTGTACTGAAGAGATGTGCAGCGGAGCTTGCTCCAGTTCTTTCGCGTCTCTTCCAGATATCTTATGAATCCGGCACCTTCCCAGAAAACTGGAAATTTGCTCATGTACAGCCCATCCCAAAAAAAGGATCTAAAACCGACCCTTACAACTACAGGCCTATAGCTCTCCTTTCTGTTATAAGTAAAGTGATGGAGAGGTGCATAAATCGCGAGCTTCTGGACTACCTTGAACGTCACAGCTTGATTAGCGACAGGCAGTACGGTTTCCGGCACCAACGATCCACAGGGGACCTCCTAGCTTACGTCACGCAACTGTGGAGTAAACTCATCCAGTCTCTTGGTGAGGCTCATGTCGTTGCTCTTGACATCACGAAAGCGTTCGATCAGCTGTGGCACGCTGCCCTCTTAAGCAAACTTCCATCCTACGGCCTCCCAGAAAAGCTTTGCAGATGGGTGGCTGACTTTATCTCTGACCGCAAGATATCCGTCGTAATTGACGGATTCTCCTCTTCATCCCACAACGTCAACGCGGGTGTTCCCCAGGGATCGGTCTTGGCTCCAACACTGTTTCTCTTACATATCAATGATCTCCTTTCCTGCACGATCAACTCAATCCACAGCTTCGCTGATGACAGCACTCTACATGCAGGAATTCAGAGTGACAAGCCGATCTCTGCCGCTGAGCTGGAAAAAAGAAGACTAGCGACGACTTCTTCTCTGACAAGAGACCTGGAGGCTATCACTGCTTGGGGACGCAACAATCTTGTACAGTTCAATGCTTCCAAAACACAGTACTGTACTTTGACGAACAAAAAGCGTCCTAGCGCTCATACAGTTTCGATGGACGGTCGAGTTCTACCAAAGAGCCATTCATTTCGGCTGGTCGGAGTCCAGATCACCGAGGACCTGATCTGGCACGAACACATCTCTTCAATAGCTGCAGCTGCTGGGAAAAAGCTAGGCTATTTGTTTAGGGCTAAGAAGTACTTTTCTCCGCATGACCTTCTCACTCTATACAAGGCCCAGATAAGGCCTAGCCTCGAGTATTGCTCACACATTTGGGGTGCTGCCGCCCCGACTACATTGTCCATGCTCGATGCTGTCCAGAGGAGGGCGGTCCGACTGATCGATGACTCTTCTCTAACTACAGTCTCGGGACTCTTTCGCACCGGCGGGCCGTCGGCGATCTGGCTCTTTTCTATCGCTACACCAACGGACTTTGCTCCTCAGAGCTCTCTTCCATGATGCCGCCGCGCGATGTGCCTGCCAGACAGACCCGCCTGACTTCGGCGTCCCATCCTAACCGTGTCAAACTTCGTACATCCAGAACTGGCCGATACGACCGCTCCTTTGTCCCGAGGGTGTCTAGATTGTGGAACAATCTACGGGAGGAAGCTTTTCCCAGTTCTACTAACCTTAGGCAGTTCAAAAATCGTATTAACAAAATTTCTTTGGGATCATCATAGCAGCCGCGGTGTTCCGGCATTTAGGCTTCTGCCTGCGCGGCTATTTCGATATAAAAAAAAAAAAAATGCGGCTAATCGCCTTATGGGTCCTGAAAATTTCCCTGGCGTGACGAGAACACGCACTAAACAGTCCCTAAGAAATTGGACCAAGAATCAGTCCCTAGAATGGTGGAACAACCAATTATTGCAAAGTTAGGCAAAAGAGTGCATCAAAGAACGAAGGGCCGCATTTACAGAAGACCTACTCGGATTTAACCCAGATATGCCTAGCGTACAATTTATGGCACACCGTAAACAAGTCGCGACTTGCAACGACCTGTGCTTATTTTGACGCGGTAATAGCACAGATTCAGTAAGCCTTAGTAAATCGTAACGTGCGGTTGGGTGTTATCGTTGTATTGAGATTTTTTTGCGGTTTTGTGAAGTTTTTATTTTTTGTGACATGGCTGAATATGGAATACGATTTGCCAAGCAAGTAAATATATGGTCTTTACGTAAATACAAAAAAAAAAGGTTTTGATTGCTTCTACCAATAAAACACACATGCTTTTTTCCAGTTATAATGCCAAATTACTTATGTTATTATTTCGGATTACGAATTACGTCATTATATTTGAGTGTGCAAATTATTGTACGCCAGGAAAATACATGCCTGTTTCATTTTTAGGGGCTTTTCTCTGGAGGAAGCCCTTGCTATGCTGGAGGATAATGAAGATGTAGTAGCAAATGTGGATAATATCACATTGATGCCTCCAATCAATGCTTGTGACATTCTCACAGACGAGGACTCCGGCGATGAGAATTTAATGTCAGCTGATAATCTACCGGGTTCACAATTACAAGGACCTGCTGAGATAAACATACCTCATGAAAAATTTAGCATATCTTCATCTTATTCCGAAGATAATATTCCATTGTCTGAATTGGCTCAAAAAATAAAAATCAAAAAGCTAAAGAAACGAAAAACGTACAAATGGGTAAAGGAGGATCTACCACAAGAAGTTCCAGGAAACTTCGAAGAAATTCTTGAACAAAATAATTCTTCTAAGACTCCACTTGAATGGTTTTCACTTTTTTTTGACAGCGAACTTATGACACGCATAACAACTGAAACAAATAGATATGCCAGACAAAAGAATCGCCAACAAGAGGTGCAAGAGTATGAAATAAGGGCATTTACTGGAACACTAATATTGAGTGGTTATGTCGATGTACCACGTAGAAGAACGTTATAAGTCTGCAAAAGTTAGACCTTTATTTGCGAGCCTGAATCAAAAATTTATGGAACATGGAATTTTGACAGAAATGCATAGTGTACGAGTAGACGAGGCAATGGTTCCTTATTTTGGGAGACACTCATGAAAACAGTTCATTCACGGAAAACCTACACGATACGGCTATAAATTATGGGTTGGCGCATCAAGACTAGGGTATACTTTATCTGAAGTCACTTGAAACACTGTGAAATACCGGGTGCGTTTTATATATCTTTATTTAACACGCTCTGTTGCTGCAAAAATCGCCAAATTTCGCAGCAAATATCCCCCGTATAAGATCAAAGGCAGTTTCACCGGTCCACGTGGAGTAAAGCACGCCTATGCGTGGACATAGCCAATGAGAAGCGTGTATTTCAGAGCTCCGAACAAGTGCAGGTGGCTACTGAAAATTGAAACAGTTTAGCCAGTGCCGTGTAGCGGTGAATAAACGTGTTTTCTTTAGTCTGTCCGTGTTTTTCATAGATTTTATTAGTTTGTGTGTTTTTGCCTTTTGAATACTCAGTTTGCTTGGTGATTTAATTGTTGTGTTAATTGTTCTTGTGTGTCCTAAATATGGCTCTTTGGAGACCTTGGGAAAATGCTCCAAGCCACCAGGAGATGGTTGATGAACCTGTGCAGGCAGAATTCTTTCATAAAGATTTAGAGGAACAGACCCAAAGAGTAATCTTAAATATGTATGATTGTCTGAAAAACGAAAATCCAGATTCCTCGCAAAATCAAATTTTAAACAGAATTTGTATCCTGACAAAAATCAGTCGGTCTACCATTTATCGGGTTATAAAAAGGGGAGATGTAGTCAACCATTCCTTCCACAGAAAGCGCATAGGGCAAAAATTAAAAAGAATAGACGTGGGTTTTCAGGAAGATATTCGTCGTTTAATATACGGATTTTATAAATAAAATTTGGTGCCCACGTTGGAAATGATACGGGATAAATTAAAAGATTATCCTGAAGGTTTTTATAATTACAAATGCTTAGACTCACTGCACTGTATTGTAAAACTGTGTGGTTTTCAATACAAAAAATTAGACAAAAGAATGGTGATTATGGAGTCGTCTCGAATCGTTGAATTGCGCCAAGAATTTTTGCACAAAGTTAAAATCTATAGAGAGCAGAAAAGGAATCTGATTTACCTGGATGAAACGTGGTATGATACCCATGATGTTGTGCAGTACGGCTGGGTTGACGACAGCAACAAGTGCATTTTAAATGCACCATGCAACCGTGGAAAACGAATCATTATTCTCCATGCTGGCAGTGAAAATGGATTTATACCTAATGCCTTGCTGTTATCTGCCAAAAATATCAAAGAATCATGTGCCGACTATCATGAGGACATGACCTCCGACTTTTGAAAAGTGGATAGAGCAGCAGTTCATACCAAACATTTCCCCAAATTCAGTGATTATTATGGACAATGCGCCATACCATTCCCGACAGAAAAACAAAATTCCGAATACAGGCACAAAAAAAAAAAGACATTATTGATTTTATGAAGGATAAGGGAATGGAAATACCACAAAAATCAACCAAAGCCATATTATTGGATCTTCTTAAAAGACAAAAATTTGAAAAAGAGTATGTTGTTGACAATCTGCTTCAGCAAAATGGCCATGAAGTATTACGTCTACCTCACTATTACTGCATTTTTAACCCGATTGAGTTGGTCTGGGCTGCTTTAAAAAAAAAGTAAGAAAACATAATCAGACCCCTCAATTAAGTGAATCGCTATTGGCCACAATAAGAGATGCAGTATCTCATATTGGTGCCACAGACCTATGGAAGCAGTGTTCTAGGCATATTATTGAAAAAGAAAATGAATATTGTGTTTTGCCTCCTATAAATCCCGTTGTAATTCCTCTACAAGATGACTCTAGCGACAGCTCCGAAGGCGAGGATGATATATAAATACCTATAATGTAAGTCTTTATATACCTTTTTATATACCTACCTGCTATGTAAATATTTGCCTATGTCAAACGTTGGAATTCTGTAATTTTTCCATTTCTTAACTTTCAGTCAACATAAATTAAACTCCCAATATAAGTATTTTTTATCCCAAATCAAAAAAATAAGAAGATAGTAAAATCCATTTATTGTGATATAAAAACATTATTATTATCGTTCTAAATAAATGACCGCACGCCTATGATACGTCATGAAACCAAAGGTTTTTATGCTATTTCAAGTGACTTCAGATAAAGTATACGTTTACTGGGTTGAACTTTACCAAGGGTCGTCAACCAACATTAGTAAGAATTATGCCGATTGGGGGGTTGGTCCTGGTGTGGTATTAGAGTATTCTGATGCACTGAGGAGAAAATGGCCAAATGAAAAATTTCATTTAGTTTTCGACAATTTTTTCACTTCTCTCCCTCTTATGGTAAAATTGACAGAAAAAAATTTCTTTGCGACTGGTACTGCTAGAGAAAATCGTTTACAAGGCGTCCAATTCAGAGATTCTAAAATTATGACAAGGGAAAAAATAGGTAGTTACGATTACAACGAAATTTCCGATACAAACATAATTGCAGTAAAATGACATGACCATAATTTAGTAACACTCTGTTCAAATGCCGCAGGATTGCAACCAATTCGCTTTGTAAAGCGATACTCTCAAAAGGATAAAACAAGTATTCAGGTAAGAACCACAATATGCAAGAAAATGCTTTTGATTTTAGGTAGAACAGCCTCATCTTGTAAATGTATACAACGCAAATATGGGCGGCGTTGATCGTTGTGATCAAAATATTGGTCTGTATCGCATTTCCATCCGTGGTAAAAAGTGGTATTTTTCATTGATCAGCCACTGTATTGATATGGCTGTTCATATTTCCTGGCAGCTTTATAGATCGCAGGGTGGACATATGAATCAATTATTATTTAGACGGCGGCTTGCCACAGCATTGTTACAACAAAACAAAAACCGCCATCTTTTTCTAGAGGACGTCCTTCGGCTAATGAATATATAAATATCCGTTATGATCGTTTAGATCATTTTGTGATACCACAAGAAAAGCCTGATGTGGCTTATGTCATGATAGAGCAAAAACAAGGTGCTCTAAGTGCAACGTAGGGATGCATGTAAAATATTTTTTGTCCTTCCATACTAAACCTTAATGTTCGCCTACGTGCCTAGTATACCATATTTTGTACGGCATTTTTTTACACTTTTTCCTAAAATAAAATTTAAATAATAATAAATTTGTTTAATATATGCTTCATATAGAATGAATTTGCAGAGAACATACTTTATTATAATTTATTTGAGCTGCAGGCATATCTGGGTTAATATGAAGTACATAAGGGCCATAATGGGTCACCTGGCAGCACACGCTGCGAACATGTAGCATTACAGGAATGGCGGAACCACAGCATTTCAAAACGTGATTTTCAAAACGGAACGTAGCAGAACTCGATTTCTTTAAAATCAAATTTTAAAGAGAAATAGACATGAAATTCTCGATTGGTTAAAATCATTATTTTTTAGCAAATGAACACCGTTTTTTCCTTCTACATCTGATCGTTTCAAATCAAGTACTCGCCAACCACAGAAAAATCAAAATATTTCAAATCTCCTACGTATTTCTTTAGCTATAAACATATGCACACGAAGGTGGTGCTGTTACCGTACAGTACAAGTTATTTTTGAGTTTTAATATGAAAATGTAAAGAATATAAATCAGCTTAACTTACGTGGAAAAGTTGTGAGCTGTCATCTCTAGGGCAAATATCGCTTTCTCCGCAAAACGGACTGACAGTGATCGTGTTCTCATCCAAAGTTGGCAGGTTATCACTGTAGCCTCCATCCATGTATCGCACGCCCCTGAATTTAGGTGGGATGAGGCCGGAGAAAAATGGTATGAAGGCGGACGCTAACAGGCACTGGATCAGTTCTTCTCTGCTGTCAAAATTTGATATCTGGAAGAAATTGATATCATATGAATTACACACTTTCTTACGCATCTCTTACTATCCATCAACATTGAATTTTATAAATTTTGGACTAAAATTACAAGGACTATAAATATATTTTTCTTGAATTATTTTTTCTATTTTGTCTCAGAAAATTGTTACGGAATAAAGTTGTATTTTTTTAAATGGAACACCCAGTGACAATATACGGTTTGTCCAATAAGGACGCAGGAAATTTGACATAGACGCCATCTTTGTTTTCTGTCACCGACATGTCATTTTGTTAGTTGAATGTTTACCATTGATCGCTATGAAGTCGTATTCGATTGAAGACCGCATTAAAGTTATTCAAAAATGGTGCAAAAATAAAAAAACACGTTTCGCGCGCTTCGTGAACATTTCGGTCGCAACAACCGCCCAAACGAAACAACCATCGGTCGTCTGGTGCGTAAATTCGAGGCAACAGGTTCTGTGGCAAATCTGCCAGGCTCTGGCCGGCCAAGGAGCGTTCGCACACCGGAAAATATTGCTGTTGTGAAGGAGAGTGTGAGAGACGATCCTAAACAATCAACAACGCGTCGATCCCAAGAATTGGGCATTTCGAGAACCAGTTTGCTCCGCATTCTCCACAAGGATTTGAATGTACACGCCTACAAGATCCAGTTGACGCAAGAGCTGCGTCGGGCCGACCATTTTTCGCGCCGAACGTTCTCAGATTGGCTCCTTGGACACCGCCAAATTGATGCCAATTTTTCATCAAAAATCATGTTCAGCGACGAAGCGCATTTCACTTTGAATGGGACGGTAAACAAGGAAAACTGCCGCATCTGGGCGAACGAAAATCCCCGTGAGTATCAAGAGCAGCCGATGCATCCTCAAAAAGTGACTGTGTGGTGTGCATTGTGGTCAAAAGGCATCATCGGACCTTACTTTTTCGAAAATGCGGCCGGGGACGCCGTTACCGTCAATTCTGAGCGATATCACGTGATGATAGAGGACTATTTTTTGCCGCATCTTGAAGGAATGGATATGGACGATGTTTATTTCCAACAAGACGGTGCAACATGCCACACAACCAACGTCAATATCCATCGATTGCAGTCCTTCTTCGGTGATCGCGTGATTTCGCGCAGAGGAAATGTGCCATGGCCACCAAGATCGTGCGATTTGACTCCCTTGGACTTATTTTTATGGGGATATTTGAAAAGCAAAGTCTACGTCAACAAACCAAGAACTCAAAAACAACATCATTGCCGAGATAAATGCCATGGAACCGACCATGTTGCAAAATGTCATTGAAAATTTCGACCATCGCGTGGACGTCTGTAAATCCAGTCGTGGTGAACATTTGAGCGATATTATTTTTCAGACATAAATGGTATAAATGAATCTTCAAAATAAAGTACCCAACTTGATTTGAATATCAATCTTTCTTGTTTTAATATGCGTTTACTTTCCTGCGTGCGTTTTGGACAACCCCATATTTTTGGTATTTAAAATATACAGAATGTGGCGTAAAGAGTGGATAACCTTTAACCTGCAGTTAGAGTACATCATAACGATTCAAAAAAATCGCTATACAAAACCACTGCGTGCGGTGAGGCTATTAAGGAATTTTGAAACGTGATCTGTCACTATGACATCAAACAAAAACAAACGAGTAGCTAGGAAAATGTGATTTCTGCATATTTATTATTTAAGTAGAAATTGCATTTGATGGAATAGGAGTCTTAGCTGACCTTAATAGGAGCATCCTTTGAATTGACAGCACAAAATACGGTATAATGTATCATTTTGCAATCTCAATGAATTAGGGAAATTATTCACGTCTTGTTTCACTAGGTTACTGCAGTATTATTTGACATCACACGTGGTCAATCTTAAGAGAAAAAAATATCTTTATGGTTTTTTAAAAAAGCAAGAAAGAAAGAATTTCTTTGCGAGATTTGAAGTGTGCTTCGGGTCATTATCTTGCTGGAAGATTGATCTTAAGGGCATATCGTCTTCCAAATAGGGTAACATGACGAACTTTAGTTTGTATGTGTATACAAACTTATCCATAATGCCATCTATTCTATGTAAATGTCCCATCCCAAACCCCGAAAAGCACCCCAAAACCATAACAGACCCGCCTCCATGTTTGACAGTGGGCAAAGTGTACTTGGGGTTCAATCTTTGTCCACTAGAACGTCTAACTTATTGAACTTGGATGCGTCAGTGAAATATACCCTCTTCCAGTCACAGATTTCGGCTTTTATTTGTCTTGGGGTTTTAAACGGAAAATTACTTTTATTATTCGAACGGATCTAGCATTTAGTTTTATAGGCCGACCACTTCTCTTAGAGGCTTCCAAGATACCTTTTTGTTTATATTTGTACAATATTGCCCAAAATGCTTTACGCTTCAGCTTCAAATTTTTGGCAATGTCGACTTGACGTTGACGATCTTTGTATAACTCAATGATCTTAGTTTTCACATCGAAAGAAATTTCTGAACCACGCGGCATGGTCTTAAAATCATTCAACTTACTCCACAATACTTGATGAACACAAACTAATCCTCTTCTGACACGAAACTCTACTAAACTAATGTTGAAAAGAATTTGTCTACATATTTTTGTCCCTCATAAAAAAGTGCTTAGATTCAGACTTGAATTGTGTTCATTACAGATAATGTAAAAACAAGGAATTTAGTTTTTCTACTAGTAATGCATTTGTTTATGGAGCAATGAAGTATGAATTCGTTTTCTAAAGGTATTTAGGGAAATATTCATATTTGTCTATATACTTTTGCCCATTACTGTATGTGTGTAATCAGGGAGAAAGGGACTATTATCTTCAAAGAAAATATACAGGATGTGCCATTTAAAAAAATACAACTTTATTCGAAAGTACTTTTCTGAAACCTGGTGTACAAAAAAGTATTACAAGATAAGCTTCACAGTAGATCCTAAAACTTTTATATACAACTTTTCTTCTATAACGCGATATAAGAAAGTTAGAGAGGGGGTCAATTTATGGCCAGATATCTCGTACTTAAGTTAGGACTTTCTTTTGCGCCGCGAGTTCGCCAGGAGCAAAGTGCATAGAGGGGGGAAGTAAATCGGTCGCCGCGCACTTTTTGGACAAAGAGGGAAACATCGCCGATATAGTGGAATATATTCACTGAATCAAAATAGTTACGTCACAGCGTCAAATAATGACAGTGACGTACATGGTTGCCACATTGATTAAAACTACTAGATTCTAGGACGTCTTCGATGCCTTACCGCAAACATCATTACGGAGCGTATAAATTCTATTTACTACCTATACTCTAGGCGCTGAAGAAAGAAACTAAACCCAAACAAATACACGCATATTGCTCGTGAGTGAGTGTTTAGGCGCAGGAGACATTACAGGACCGCATCAAGATATTATGGGTAGTCATCAAAAATTTCATACAAGATAATTATTATCTTTTACAGTAAATTTCAGTTAGAGATTCACAAATGAGTTAACTACACTTTTTAGTTATTAGTAAGTACGCTGCGCGCACTCATTCAGAAGAGGAACTTGAATCTTCTGAATCGTTTAAATGAATTATTAGAGGTTCAATTTGGGTATCGATGACATTGTCCAAATCCCACATTTTGACCTCAACCTTCTCCCGAACGTGGCGGATACAGTTTTTCCATTCCTCTGCCGTAACTCTATTGACAGCGATGTGAAAGAGATTTTTAACATCAGAAAATTTATAAGTATTATTATTCGACGCCACGTATTGCTTTATGTTGGCCCAAATCAGCTCAATAGGGTTCAGCTCACAATGGTAGGGTGGCAGTCTCAAGACAGTTTTATTTTGTTTTTTGGCCATTTCGTCGATCATTTTAAAATCGTATTTGTATTTATGTCTATTGACTATACTTATCAATTCACCCTTGACCATTGTTTCATCAAAATCGATCTGTTTTGAGGCCAGCCATTGTTGTATGTTTGCTTTTTTAGTTGCCATTGTGGGAATTTTTTCTATTTTTCTAGAATGGTACGGGGCATTATCCAGTACAATAACAGCGTTATTCTCCAGCTTTAGTAACATTTTGGAGAACCAATTTTCAAAGGAATTGCCGTCCATCTCCTCATGATAGTCCCCTGTCTTTTTTGATTCAAAGGCCCACAGTGCTTCGGGAACAAAGCCGTCTTCACTACCTACGTGACAAATGATCAGCCGTTTGCCTTTTCCTGGAAATAAATTATTCCTTACACTATGGATTGATTAAATTTGAAGGAATGAGGCAATTGAGTTCATTTAGCTGAATTTAAGAGTCACGGAATGCTGATCAAAAACTGAAAAACGTAGAAAATTTAAGTTTGCAACTTCTCAAAACCCATTCAAAGCAAATTGACTGCACCCAAAAATGATAATAAATTTCAAAATAACGCTTAAAAGAGGGTCGAAGTTTTTTTCCTAATGACTACACTGCGAATGCACCATTTTTGGAGAATATCACACATTATCTGCTATCACAGCATATTATTTGCCCGAATTTATCAAAATTAAATTGCCGGATAGATGAAGGAGCTTACCTGCAGGATTTTTCAATCCAGCCGAAAGACCGTCTAGAAAAGCCTGCCTTGATGATGTTACTGATTTGTCGACCCAAAATTTCGCTTGAGTATGTCCAGCATTCACCCACGTTTCGTCCAAATAGTAAATTTTTCTTTTTTCATCGCGAAACTTCCGAATCTTCCTAAGGTACTCCCTTCTCCACACAACAATTTCTTCTTTCTCTATTAACATACTGTTTTTCCCCGTTTCAAGAATCGAAAATTAAGTTCCTTCAAAAGTTTTCGGAATGTGGTTCTTTTAAATGATGGAAGATCCTCATCAGCATTAACTAATCTTAATATCTTATCTACTGTATTTATCTCATTTCGGAAGAAAAAATTATGCACTTTCCTCCTGATGGCAGTTCTGTCTAAGTACATCTACTCCGTCCGTTATCCTTTTTCTTGCAGGATACGGTTTTGGCTCAGAAAGTGAGTGAGTGCTCCTATATTCCTTAATGATCCTATAAACACTGGACCGACATACTCCAGAAATATGTGCTACCTTACATATAACTTCGTCCACGACCAAATCGGGTTTTTCTTGAATTTGGTTTTTGTATATATTTAATATTATTTGTTTTTCATTTGCACTTAAATGTAGCTTCTTAGCCCTTTTTTTGGGTGGGGTTGCGCTGATGTCAACCACTGCGTCGGCTGTATCTGTGTCAGACATCGTATCTTAGGCAATATATAAACAAAACGTTCCACTCGCGAAAAACGAGTATATGCTACTGAATGCGTAATGCGTATGCAATGAAATCCTGTGCGTGAATTAACTGTTAGATGCCTGTCGTGTCATCTACAATCACGTTTACAAGTCCAAACCTGTGCAGATTCGTAGAGCGCCGACGACTGCTAGTGACCTTGAATTTGTCTGAAGATCGATGTTACTCCAGTCAATTTAGGTTCAAAGTGGATGTTTTCTAAACCAATTTGTTGTTCCTACATCAAAAATATATCGATGATGTTTTGTACTGGGAGCTCATGAAAGATCAAGGTAACTTATTTTAACAGTCATCCTTTTTCTAGTCTCAAGATGACACGAAAAAGGGTCTGTGGATTCACTAGAAACACACTGCCGAGGATGTTTAGACCTAAAGTGACTGGAGTATATCCGTGGATGCTTTCGAGGGATCTGTTCACGTGCTGATCACTGTTTACGTTTAATGTCTTTCTTCAGCGCCCAGAGTTTAATACCTCTCTTACGGACTGTAAAGGCAATAATGATCTCGTTCGGTATCAACATATTTTGTCAAAGAAATGACGAATTCTTTTGCTTGTCGACCCAGAGATTTCGGCATTTTAGCAAAATGCTTACTAGGACACCTCAAAGTTTTGAAAAAGCTGGGTTTTATAAAATAACAATGCAAATACTGAGGCAAAAAGAACGAAAATAAACAACAGCCATTGGTGTAATTACCGGACAAGCTTTGCGACAATGCCACAACACAGAACACTGTTACCAACATAAATGTACCCGCGAAATTCAAACTACACGTAAAAATTTAGGATCTATTTTGCATTAAGGTTGGCATTCAAATATATCGTAACTGCTTTGTTTCAGTGAATAAACTATGGTCTTTATCTTGACATATTGTGAATTCCGAAACTGTCTAAGAGACATTTTCTAAGTTACCCAAATGAGCAACTTTGCGCTCATTTAACAGACTTCGTTTCCAAGGTCCCAATGGCATTCGGTATAGACGGCCTATGGAAGTTCTAAACACCAAGGATATACTTACAACAACATTTTTTCCATCGTGCACCCTGGTGAGTGAAACATGCAGCTTCCCGCTGCACCGTATGTGCGCGTCATCCGGTAAGAACTTTTCCAAATTTTCTAAAAGTAGCCGGTTGATGTTGAAAGACGGCGAAAATGCACCTAGAGATCGCTTCCTAGCTTCTGCACATACCCTGAGTACATCACTGGTCATGTCACCTATAACAAAGGAGAAATAATTTAGTATACAGTACATAAAATCGGTCCAGTGGCTTTGGAGACGCAAACGCGAAAAAATTACAAAAAACCGTTTAAACGTCGTTTTTAGATCATTTTTGAAAAAAAATTTAGGGGTAAGAAATTGGGGGATGGGGGAGAGTAGATGGAAATTTTTTATGTTGGTATATTAATACATTTCCAAGTCCGGTAATTCTACGCACCTATTAGACATATTTCAAACATAATAGATTTTCGCCTACACGTGTCCTTAAAACTTGATCATTGAGGTGGGGCGACGTTGCCAGATGGATGGTACTACGGATAGGGTAGGAAAAGGACGTCTATGGACTAATTGTATGACGGACCTATCCAATCAATTTCTCGGTTATGTAATTAAAGGCAAACAAACAATCGGCAGCTGTATTGTGCTTTTATGGACCTCATCAGCAAGGTCTAAGGGTAATCTCTGGCGGTTTCTTATTTCGATAGTCTGACATGTTCTGAACATAATCTTTTAGGAACTGACGGCGTTGCATGGGAACCGAAAATTACGATATCGTACATTTTAATGCACCTGCCATTAGATTACCAACGGAATATTTTAAAGTATTATTCATACTGGACATATTCCTCATTTGGTTTTTTACGGTAGTTCCGAAATTCTAGAAAATGTTATCACACTGAATATTCCAATGTTGGTGATTATGTATCGTGTGAATGTTGGTTCAACAATCTATTATCCTTGATGTGATCTCAATTCACAAACATAGGAAATTTTGTCACATAACTGTGAGCTATTTTAAGTAAATATCTATCTGATCTAACAAATTCGATAACAATTCTAGAGAACGTTGATCCTGTTTAGTAATTATGGTTAGTTGCGAAAATATTCTACTAAACACGTCATATTTACATAGATTTTGTTTTTTCGTTAGTTACTTCATATCTTCATTGAGAAAGCAAATTCTTTTGTAGACATGCAAGATTTATCTTGGTCAGAATATTAGAAATATTTTCCATTATTGAATATAAATATACTAAGGCCTCCGTAATAATTGTAAAAGAAAACTATAACTATTAAGCTGCAAACGCGTTCATAGTTGTCAAATTTCAAAGAGGAAGATTTATTTTTTCACTAAAACTCCAGAAACCACTATTATTAACCGCAATGCCATGTTGAGAAATATCGTTTTTCTCTGTAGACAAAAAATAATGATAAAAAACACCTATTTATGATAGAATGATATCCTGGGCTGTCAGATATTGCTTATTTTCATAAATATTATACGTAGATTCAAATATACAGGGTGGCGCATCGAAAACGAAACAGACGCGTTTACTGGCAGTTATTTTTTGGAAAAACGCTCATTTATTACATTAATTTTATATCATTATAAGGGGAATTGAAAGACCTTTAAAATAAGGTATCACTCGACCCCCCTTTCCAATTAAGATTTTAGGGTTGGTGTCACCCCCGCCCAGGGGGCTGCACGTGTTAACGTGATTTTTTGCCAAACTTGTGTCCCCCTCGAAGCAAAATCGACGGGTCTGAGCGTTTTTCCAAAAAAACCTGAGCTGCCAGTAAATGCGTCTGTTTCTTCGATGGGCCACCCTGTATAATAATTTAGTCAATACTAATATACAATAGTTTGAAAATCCTTATAATAGGTGGTTTGGTATCGATGCTGAATCTTGAATTAAATATATTAAGTAAAGTCTAACAATAACTCGTAATTTAATTTAGGTTACCTAGACAATAATAATTCAAATATGAATTATAAAATATACCTGATCTGAGATAGCTCTCATTAACACCTTAATTGCAGCACATTTACTTAGAATATCTTTTCACAATGAGTTCCCGAACTAGATTAATAGTCATTAAACTGGAAAATACATATTGCAAACGTAAAAAAATGTTTGGAATATATTTACAAGAGAAACTGTATGGGAAACAGTGGGGTTTCACTACGTATTTCAATTTCAAATAAACACGATGGTTTTCATATAGAACTACCGATTTATTTTCAAGTTATCAAGCTGTAATTCGGGCCCATTAAACTGATGCTAACAAAAAACACTGACAGTTGTAAATTCCAAGATGGCGGTTAGACGTCTGATTCCTCCAGGTTTGTCTGACCAATGAAACCACATGTATGTAAAATTCTTTAATAATAATAATAATAATAATAATAATAATAATAATAATAATGCCTTTATTGACTCGCCCACACTGCAGGGCGTAGTTTAGCCAGCTGGCCACTCTACCACTTAACCTTACAGCGAAGGAAAACGAACAAAAACAAAACAAACAAAAAATAACTCAACATACACTTAAAGAAACTAACAAGATATGTTTAATGTGTACGTTTCGGTCACAACGGTAACCTTCATGACACTTTTGACAATATTTTATTTGTCTGTCTTCCATTTCGTTTGTTTTTCTTTTCATACAGTGTGATACTGAAAGGTCCGTAACATGTCAAGATTATGCAAAACCATCATTTCCAATTTTAAGATGGCACCACTCAAAACCAGCATCGCCCAGGATCGCCTGGAGTGAAGATTCTCGCTCCCAAAAGGACGCCTTGCAAGAAAAAACGACAACAGGGCATTTTTTTTTAATGTAACAGACACGTCACCCTCGTTCATCGTTCCGAAAACGCCAAAAGCCTTCCAAAAAACGCGAGAACCCACCCATCACTGTTGTTGGTTGATTGTTATGCAATCTCCTACTAAAATGTTGCAATTGTGTTGATAACGGATCTGAAACGCGAGAAATAGCACTTCGACATTTAAAGGGAACCCACTTAAGATGTAACAAAGAAGCTGACTATCATTATCGCAGCGAATGTTTTTTACATGAATCATACAAATATTTAAATATCGGTTATGCTCATATTATTCACGAAAGTAGTAAACACTAAATGGGACGCGATAATATAGTTGATATTGTTAATATTAATTTTGCGTTTTTTATCTATTGTTGACGACGTTCGATTTTTTGAAGAACCTACGAGATAAAATGTTGATAATGCGAGTGTCACAAGAATAGAAATGATACAAGTAAATATTCCAAAATACGAGGTGTGATTTGAAATGTCAGTAAAAATTCATAATACACTTAGTAAAAACGCCTCCACAGATACGAGTTTCGGTATGTGAAGTATTACCAAGGAAAGGTAATTTTTTATCACCATATGGTAGGTAGTTGAAAACGGAGTTGTTGGCTTCTGATTACCAGTTTCAACGACGGAATATTTCCGAATTTATGGAAATCAAAGAAGGTAATAATAAAACACTTTCACTTACGTTGAAACTCGCCTTTGCGGGGCAGTTGTGTTAATTTTGAGATTTTCTTATCAAGCCTCGTGTAATAAATCTGTTACTAACAGCTATAATAAAAGCTGGTTTTTAAAACGAATTTTTTCATTTAATTTATTCTTTACTTTTTGGTATATATCAAATAACTATACTAAGTGACATATAAATCCGAACACCCAGTTTAAATGGTTTTATTTTAATAAAAGTTGGTGAATGTATTTATCTTACTGTAAATAACAAATGAAAAAATTTTCAGCCTTATCAGTTGGACATTCCGGTTTCTATACTGCTTTTTTTTAATTCACTAACGCTCTAAAACTGAATATTTCAGCCGCAGTAAAGAATCAACGTTGGCGGATTTTGGTTCTTGACATCCTTTACGATCGGTTACTATGTCTAGAGTACGGAGACCTGTACGATTTCGTCAACTTAGTGAGTTTGATAGGGGCCGTATAGTGGGACTTCGGGAAGCTGGACTTTCTTTTCGGGCAATTGCAGTTAGAGTGCAAAGAAGTGTAGACACTGTGGTTAGGTGTTGTCAGGCATGGCTTCGAGAAGGCCGTACGCAAAGAGCAAGGGGCACTGGTCGCCGCCGTAGAACAACAGACCGTGAAGATCGCCGCCTAAGATTATTGGCCTTAAGGGACCGTTTCTCCACTACCAGGTCCATTGCAAATGAATGGTTTGCAGAACACGGAAGACCTATTGACATGCGAAGTGTTTACCGACGAATGAGAAGGTTTGGCTTGTTTTCATACCGGCTACACTGGGTCCTCCCTTTAACTCGAGAACACCGACGTAATCGCCTTGAGTGGTGCAGACAACGGTCACTCTGGGATCAGGAATGGAACAGTATTGTCTTTAGTGACGAGTCTCGATTTTGTTTAGGCATGCACGATGGTCGTGCCAGGGTTAGAAGGCGACGTGGTGAAAGGAGGAATCCACAGTTTTTTGTTGAAAGACATGTTCATCACACTGTTGGAGTTATGGTTTGGGGTGCTATAGCTTATGGTTCCAGGTCACCTTTAATCTTCATCAGAGGTAACATGAACGTGCATCGTTATATCCACGAAGTTCTAGAATCCCATCTTTTACCCTATCTTGACACCCTGGTAGATCCAACTTTCCAACAAGATAATGCCCGACCACATGTTGCAAGAGTCACAATAGAAGTCTTTCAACATAATGATGTCACATTGTTACCATGGCCACCAAGATCTCCCGACTTATCCCCAATTGAGCACGTGTGGGATATGATGGGTAGGAGATTGCTCAATTTGCAACGTCCTCCTCAGACTCTAGAAGCACTTCGAGAGGAGTTGGTGGTTGCCTGGAATGAGATACCACAGGAGGACATTGACCACCTGATCAGAAGCATGCCTAGGCGCGTTGGAGAATGCGTAGCACATCAGGGTACATCCACACATTATTAAAGGTCAAAGGGCTTTCAAGCAGTGCAATCATTTTGAAATTTTTATCATTTACTTATTATGCTTCATTAAGTACTTACACAAAATTTTATTAAAATAAAACCATTTAAACTGGGTGTTCGGATTTATGTCACTTAGTATATTATAAGATTCCAATAGGTATAAATTATATAATGATAAATTGATAATTTGCGGATGCCCGTCATATTGGATTCAAAATAACGTCACTTTGTTTATTGTGTGTCC